AGCATCCCTGGTTCTGTTATTCCCCTCTCCAGTCCCCCTGGATGAATAGCCCTTTCCCCTTGCCATGCTGAATAGGCCAGGTGACTCCGAAACTGGCCACCCAGCAGATGCTTCCGCAGTACCAACTGTTCCGAATCCCCCACCTCATCTCCAGCTTGTTTTTTATTTTGCTTTTTGCCTCCTTCCCCCGTGTCCTACCAATCCAGGCTGCCTGGCACATGCTGCAAGCTGCAGTCCCACCGGAGCGATATTGTGATGGAAATGAGGGAGGGGATGCGGGCAGAACTGCACAGATTTACAGCACTCTAAGGGTTTCCATTAAAATCCTTGACAACTTGTTATTTATGAGTAGACCAACAGCTCTTCTAATATCCAGGGCCTAGACCCCATTCACTTCAATAATGCTGGTTTGGAATAAATGAGCCAGAGGATGGAAACCAGTTCTGTTAGTATAATGGAGGAGGCTAATAGCTGTTTAGAGAAAACAACTGATGTAATTCTAGGACCCAATCCTTTCACCAACAAAACAATGAAGGTTCGATTCTTTGGTGCGTTTCACATAGTGATTTAATTCAGTACAAAGAGGGTGATGAATGGCGGCGTTTGGATTTCGTGCCTTTATATACCTACTTCGCGCTATTTGTACGGGTGCACTAGAGATAAAGGGACTCATCGACTCCTGTGCAAGCAGGAAGAGGTCAGCCTGGATCTCCAGAGCAGAACAAAGGTAAACAACGTGTCCTTACAAAATAATATGAGTGACAAAAAAACCACTCTGCATAAGTGTAAGATATTCATTTTTCAGTCTCACAGGGGCCTGTGAGCATTTCCTTCCCCAGATTGTTCTGAGCTGCCCCACCTAAACCACAGTGGCAGTCTAAGTGTCATTTTAGAACATTTTTTTCCACCATTCCCTTCTCTGCCCTCTTCCCCTTCCCATCACTGATGTGCCAAATACAGAAGGACCTCTGCTTACTAAGCAAGTACAGGAGTGATCTCTGAAATAAGGACTTCGGTGATCAAAACACTTTAAACCTAGATGTGCATTATGCTGCTGTAAAGAATTATTGATCTCTTCTGCTGTGTCTTAAAATCAAACTGACAAGTTGATTACAGAGTATAACTCAATTGCTGGCTTGTACATGGCCTTCCTTTTCCTCCTTTGTTCACCTGCATCTTGTCTATTTACATTCCTTTTGTCAGGGATCTTTTTATTTCCATTCAGCTTCCTCTGCTCTCCACGGGAGCCTCATTAAGGTGAAGCGAAGAGAAGCAGCAGCAGCGCTTCCAGATTGCGCAGCGCTGCCAGATGGACCATGCTCCATGCTTCTGCCTCCCCCTCATCCGCATCCCAAACCTCAGTGCTGTGATTTTGGAGGAGACTGACAATGCTAAAGGTCCAAATTGTTCTGCAGGAAGAGAAAGGCATGGATAGATTAAGAGGAACCAGGAGAAGAATGGCTGCAGGAAAGAGGCTCTTCAAGTGAGGAAGGGAATTGTGGGTGTATGATTGGGAATCACTTCCTGAAAGAAGCCGAGGCCCCAGTCAGTTATTTCAGCATCCTTTCAGATCCTCTGGCTTTCAGGGCTGAAATAGTTTGGGATTCTTGAGTCTGTAACCATTGTGGCCAGTCTCTTCTTTTCTGCACCAAAAATAATTTTTCCCAGGCAAAACAATGGTCTTTCCTATGAAACAAGCTGACAGCGGTCAGTATGTGATGCTGTCTGTGACCGTGGTTAGCAGTGTGTCCAGTTATCATCCGCTTTGCATTTTACACATACAGAAGCATACCTGTTAATTGGGAGATAGTGTGCCGTGGACCAGAAGAGGTATATTCAAAATATAGTCTGTGAATAGGAGAGAAAGCCTGAGGGAAGAAACAACTTCTTGGAAAAGGAAGGCAAGGGGTCTGAGAAAAATAGGAGAAGCGAAAGGACCAAGCAAAGGGAGGAGAGTTCTCTGAGGCTGAGCGGGTTTGCCTGGACAAGGGAACAGAAAATGCTGTGCTGCATCGGAGCAGTGATCACTGATGGAGAGCAAACAGAGGCAGTTCCTAAGCTGGACCAAACTGATAAGCCCTGCAAAGGTGTAAAAAGATAGATATTCACAGAGATTTGGCTCACAGAGTATGACTTCTTCCTTTTAGATACGTTTCTAATGAATGTCCGCTCAGATGCTCGTGAGTTTGGGTATAAATTGTGCCAAACCCCTACTGTCCCTTTTGAAAATGTATTTCAAGGTCCTTATGCAATACGTATCAATGTAATATTGGATCTCATCCAAAGTGTAACTATATCTAATTATCAGCCATTTGAGCTACTTCTGTATTAAACCATAAAATTGAGATAGGATTGAAACCTCTTACGATTCCAAAGGCTAAATGCAGCAGTAACATAAATAATGCTGTAAATTACTAGCAAAATGAAAACTTGGTCAGAAAATATATGATGTAATTTGTGCTTTGGGGTAAATTGGTCCCTGGCTGCCCAGGATAGGGAAGGTATGACCTGCATCAGGCCAGAGTACATGGCTGAGAGTCTGAATCTGTGTCATTATTACAGAAAACAAATGGCATACCTTAAAATACTTCAAAAAGCCAGCATCCTCACGAGATTTATTGCAGTCTCACCCCCTCTGCCGGTCACCCGCTTGCTGCTTTTGTCCCAGGGCCAGCACCTCAGCACAGGCCCCGAGATTTGTAGAGATGATAGGAGCAGACAAATGGAAAATGATAGGTGTAAAAGGGATGGAGAGGCAACTTAGGGGCACCGACACTTGGCACCAGAGCCTCGGGGACATAGATAGCATCATGACATAACTCTAAGCCCAAGTGACCGGGTTTGGGTTTAGGATACAAGCTGCTAAAGGCAGCATTAGCAGCAGTGTAGGAAGGAAAGAGGTCTGATAGCTGGCATTTGGGCGAACTACTGGGGTTTTAGTAAAAATTGCCTTTGTGCCTCTCCACACGTGATCTGCCTCTGTCAAGATGCAAAGGAGTAAAAGAAGAAAGAAGTAATTTAGAATGAGGATGTATGGGAAAACGTTGGGGGGGGGGAAAGCATTTTCTTGAAAAACAATGGGACTTTTCCTGAGGAAATGAGTGTTCGGTTAAAAATGAGCCTCATTTTGATGGAATGTTTGATTGTCAAAATTGGGATACAGCTATGCCAGGAATGTTGAGATACAGTAATCAATAATGTCAGAACATATACAGTACCAAGTATTTTAAAAAGAGTATTTTATTGTCCACAGTGAGGAGCTTTTCAGCTTTTTCTCCTAGCCCTGGGAAAAAAAAAAGTATCGGTACACTGGATGTTCCTGTGACACAGCAGAAATTCAGCCAGCTCGAGGCTTTTAGATCAGCACTACTGGGAAGTAAAGCCCATACAGCTCAATTTACTTTCCCGATTCGTTCTCGTTATCCCATACTATCCTTTGGGCTTCCTGATATCTTCCCATGCCATGAGGAGCCAGTATCAGTCAAGTAAATATGTGCTTTCCGTTAATAGGGATCCCATGTTTCACGCTAAAAGTTATTCAGAGAGGTGCTTAAGCACTTTGTTAGGCAGAAGCTTCAGCAAGTAATTGACAAACTGCAAATGGCTCCCTTAAGACTCCACCAATTCCTCCAATGTATTTCTTTAAGAATGAACAGACATAGACAAATATTTGCTCCGTACAGATTTCTGGATGCTGTTTTCTTTTACAGTTTTTATTTAAATAATGCTTACCACTATCGTACATCTCAAGACAGAAATACTCCATTTAAACCTAGATTGATAAAAAGTTTGTGTAGAATCAAAACAGTAAGATATTCTGAAGTCTCTGTTACTCTGAATATTCTTAAAAGTCTATGTAAACTTCTTAGGATTTTCTATTGCTTCAGATACTCAG